TCAGCCCTCCCTCAGTGCTCTCAGTAGACGAGGACCCTCTGGCAGTAGGTGACGAACTGGGCCCGGCAGCCGCCGCATCTCCACCGGCATTCTCTGCACTGCTGGTTTCTGGGAGTTGACTGTCATCCAGATGATTCACTGCGTGCTCAAACTCGCCGCCACTCAGGACAGAGTCAGCAAGACCTGCCCCCACCGCTGGATCGTTCCAGGCCTCGAGCACCCTGCGCCAAGCCGACGGGACATCATAGGCACTCTCCACATCCATGCCCTCACCTAGCACCATGTCACTCTGGCCATGGTTGTTGGAGTTGCCCTCTCCATGGCTCATCTCCACAGCATCGAACCCTGCTTCCACTTCAGCTCCCTGACCTTCTTCCTCCGCATGCGCAGCCCGATCATCCCGTTCACATAGTGCCGAACGTCCATCTTCTCCCTCACCTGCAGGTAATTCAGAATCACCTTCTCGTGCATGCCGATCGTCACCCTCATGTAGATCAGAGTCGCCTGGCAGAACTTCAGGAAGGTCCGATTCCGCTCCATGCCCACTACCACCAGCACTGTTATCGCCCTCGCAGTCCATTGTGCGCATGTCCAGATCACCCTGAGTCTCCTGTTGCGTTGGTGCGGAACCACGCTCCATGCCTTCATCATCAAGCTCTCCCTGTGTTTCCTGGTCTTCTTTTGCTCCGTCTTCTCCTTCAACCCTTGCCACGCTTGGCCCATCTTGGGATATACCATCATTCTCTGCCTGCTCCGGCCTCTCCACAGCTACCGTAGAACTGCCCGCAGACGAAGCTCGGTCTCCCTCTGAGTTCCATACGACTCCATTGGCCACATTCCTCACCAATTGGTCCGTGTCCTCCTGCATAGCAACCCAGAGTTGAAACGCTTCTGCAATTTCCTGACCGAGCCTCTCCAGGATGACGTCTAGACTGGTAACCCCCGTGCTAAATTGCCATAGCCAATACCGACCCTCCACTGAGGCCATGAAGTCACTGACAGTCTCTGCCAGTCCAGGTAGATGGTCTCTCGCAAAGTTGGCAAGCTGAGGATTTGCCTGTGTCGCATCCCTTCGAAGCCCTTGGTCTGTCGCTGTCGCTTCATCCACAGTTCCATCGTTTAAACCTCCCACTAGCGTTTCCACCACCTTGAAGGTCACCGTAGCTTGCTGGTCATGATTGATCACTCCCTCAATGCTGGCTTGTCCGATTTCATGACCAGAGCTCGTTCCTGCACAGATTGTGATGCGTATCCGTTTCCGGCTGGGATTCACTCCAGGATTGCGCATTTCAGAACTTCGGGCCCATTCGTCCCATTGCCGAGCCATGGCTGACTCATGCTGACTGTACGCCAGCCTATCAGCCTCTTCTTGTGCCTTAGGATTTAGGGTTAAGGGCCTTACCTACGACAGTCCTTGTGGTGTCCATTACTGGGTTGGGGATTCACCCAACCCAAATTGTTTCCCTTCACAGCGAGGGTAGGAGTGCTCTGTCAAACTCCTACCTACCCTAGGGCTCCAAACACACCCACTTCAGGGCCATCCTCCAACATATCTCCCCCCCTAAGCCCAAAACCTTAAACGGACCAACCTGTAAATCTATCCAGAAACACCCGAAGTCCGGAATCTGACTCCCAAACATCCGAATCCGAAACAAATGAACGGGGCACACGGTTTAGGGGGGTTTAGGGTTTAGTGTCTAGGGATCAGGATTTAGGGTCTAGGATTTAAGGTTTAGGCTTCCAAGGAATGCGCCATGTTTCCAGTGGCTTTTGGCTTATGCGCGCTGCATGCGACACGGACCGGTTTACGCACAATGCTGCTACCCTAAACCCTACTTGGGGGCCCATGGGACTTAGTAACTACTTATAATTGGGCCTATGACCCTACTTATAATTGGGGTAACTCCTTTAAGCCCATTTAGGGGAATTATAAGTAAGGATATAACCCCGAATATAAGTAGTTACTAAGTCCCATGGGCATCCAAGTAAGCCCTGCGCCATATATTGTGAAATCAGCTTTCGCAGGAAAACAAAAAAAACGAGTCTTGTATGGTCGGCAGCATAAATGCCAAAGCTCTACAGCTTTGAAGTCCTTGGAGCTCTCTAAGAACCATACCTGACCTACTTTCTGGGTTACAAAGTCTATGAATAATCTCGACTTTGGGCTCTACAGCCCAAAAGCAAACTACTTCAGACCATGGGGCAATTTCCATTTTAGTCAAGGATAACCCAACACAGACCTCTACTTACCATCTTCCCTTATGATAGCAGACCCCAAAACACACGGACCCGTAGTTATGGGACAGTCAGTCTTGAACACCATAGAACCCCAGTTTCCATTTCATGTTCCATTTTCCGTTCCATTTGATTCTCCATTCTTGGGGCTATGTTTAAGGCCCCTCACGCCGTAAGCCCAAAACCCTATAAGCCTAACCCATAAACCTCAAACCTTAAAATCTAAACCCTAAACCCCTAAACCCTAAGCCCTAAAACCTTAGCCCTAAGCCGCAAACCCTAAGCCCTAAACCCTAAACCCTAAATCCCTATAGGCTAAATAGTAGTTTCCATTGTCTTTTCCATTATCCCAACATAAATCCCTATAGTATCCCAATATAACCCTAAACCCTAAACCCTGAATCCTAAACCCTGAAACCCTGAACCCTAAACCCCTAAACCCCTACACCCTAAACCCTAACCCTTCGACTCCCTTGAGATTGGCTTCTTGCCTCGGCAGATCTGGGGCCTGAAATGTCAGCAAGCGTGGACCCCAGAGAGCCCAATACCATTTGATTAAGGAATATAGGGGCTTAGGACTTAGGGTTTCAGGGCTTAGGATTTAGGGCTTAGGGAATACCATTTAATGTAAGAATATAGGGCCTTAGGACTTAGGGTTTCAGGGCTTAGGATTTAGGGTTCAAGGAATACCATGTAATAAGGAATATAGGGGCTTAGGACTTATGGTTTAGGGTTTCAGGGTTTAGGGTTTCAGGGTTTAGGGAATATAGCCCACATGGTACCATGGTCCCTAATGTGATTTAGACTACATTCCTTAATTAAGGGGTATTGGGCCTTCTGGGACTCTACCAGCAGTGGCAGACTAGGTACAGTGTACTCTAGGGGCCTAATTGATTAGGGTTTAGGGTTTAGGGTTCAGGGTTTAGGGTTAGGGTACTGCCCCCTCCCCAGTAACAGTCTATGAAAGGGGTCAGAATAAGCGCTATACATATGGGCTATAGTCTAAACTCCTAGTATCCCCCTTAATAACCCCTATAGTACCCTAAACCCTAAACCCTAAACCCTAAACCCTCTATAACCCCCCCTTTAAGGAGTTTAGACTGTAGCTCATATATATATATATATCCTTTTTCATATGAGAAGTGTTATCCAACTGTTCCTGAGTGGGGGCAGTGCCCAAGGTAAGGTGTACCCCTAGGAGCCTAATTGGCTAGGCTTTAGGGCTCAGGGTTTAGGCTTTAGGCTTTAGGGTTTAGGGTTAAGGATTTAGGGTTTCGGGTTTAGGCTTTAGGGGCCTTATTGAAGCGGGTTTAGGATTTAGTTTCTCCACAATGGAAATGAATCAGATGGGAAGGAAGATGCAACATGAAGCGCAAACAGGGGATCTCTGGGGTTTTGTCATGGCTTAGGATTTAGGGCTTGCTGTGGGTCGGGTCAGGGGGACTTAATGAGTAGGTTCATGGTTAAAAAGGGCATAGCTGGCGTCACTAAATGGCTTCCAGGGGCTATCAGTGTACTTACCAAGTCCCCTTGACCCTCTAAGTAAAGCGTGTGCCAGGTTCCTTTGAAGGGAAAACATAAGGATATACACGGCTTAGAGCTTAGAGGCTTATTGAATCCAAATAATGAAAAATACATGCACGTATACTTTGTACTGCCTTCACCCAGCGACAGTCTATATGAAACAGATAACATTCAGGGCTTTCCGCTGGTGGAAGAAATCCTGCAGCATTATTCTGAGGACTTAAATGGTTTAGGGTTTGGCAACATTCTTCCATCAACAGTATACATCCACACCATAGTTTTCTCTAACAGATATTGACTGGAGACAGTATCCAAGTTTGTACTGCCCAGAAGGCGATATACGTGCGTGGTGGCACGTGGGGGGGAGGGGTTGTCAAAAGTTAGAATCAGTTCCTAAAATTTGGGGTGCCCTAAACCCTAAACC